CCCCCCCCCCCCCCCCCTCCCCCCACAGGCAGGCTGAAATCGGAGGCCGTTTCCAACACCAGGGTTTCCCCTGTTTCAGTAGCTCTCTCAATGCTCATTTTCCGGAAACTCGGATTTGAAATGGAGGATATCCGCAAGAACACTGTCCATTTCGCCCAATCTTATCTGAAAATTCTGTAGCACAGATCAGAGATCTTTACTTCACCGGCTATGAAACAAGTCGTTTTCCTGACCTACTTCATCCCCAGCCCGTTCCCATATGGGGTGCCAGAAACAACGGGGTGCCGCGGTCCCCTACATTTTTGATTTTCGGCAACAAAACTCTATACCCATAGTCGATGTTAATACATCATAGTCTGTCACAGCATTTGTCTTTGATGCTATTCCGACACAGAGCGCGTTTGCGTTTGAGTGCTGTTGCTGGCTGACCGCTTTGCTCCCTCCACTTCGATGACGCAACCTACTCCAATCGCTCAAGTACCCTCATAACAGCCTATTGAATACATAAACATTTGAGCTACTATAAACAATTACGGTAATCTCGGAAATTTCCGGACCACAAAAAAAACTTTTTTAGCCACAAAAGTGCCATTGCTAGTTCGATATCCTGAAGCGCCATGCACATTGCTATGGATAAAGTCATTAGCTTAAGTGGAAACGTCTGCCAACTTGTTTTTATGGAGCCTTTACAAAGACTAGTAGACCCAGGTTGCCCCGTTGGCTTTTATCAAGACAAATTTAATTCTCATGAAAAATTTTTTTTCCTTAAAAATTCAATTTCCCTTGAAATTTCATACTCTGTAGAAAAAGCAGAATTTCGCAAAAAAATCTCATATCAGGAATCACCTTTTCAAGCACTTATTTATTAATCAGTTCAACCAGTTATTCGCTTATTTACTTCATGCATTCAGACAGGCGCAGTCGAAACACCGTACTTCACATAAAAAAATCGAGAAAAAATGGAAAAAACACGAAAGGCTTCAAGCAGATGATAAGTTCGCCCTGTCAAAGCGAACAACGGCCTCCAGAAACGGCCTAAAGGAATTTCTTTTGTTCGGCCATACAGAAGAGGATCCAGATCCAGATCTTCATAGGAGTGAGGAGCTTCGTAAAAGATTCTCCAACTTCTCTTTGATTGAATCGGCTGTCATTCTCAGGTTGTTATTCTTTGCTAGAAGATAGAGGCTCTTTGAAAAGGTTCATGGATTTGTACCTACTATAGGCGACAATCCTCTGATTCTACCTGGAGAATCTGCTGTAAAATTTTTGAGAAAACACCGCAGACAACCATATTTGTGGTTTCTGCAAGTCTTTATTGCCCAAAATAGAATTCGATCCCTGTTCTTTATTTGGTTGTGAAGTGGCAAGGGGCGCACTATCACACATACATGGTCCGCGGCTCGAATCCCAGATTGATTCTCACTCAGAACAACCAATCGTTCCACTCCTTCGGGGTCGGATAAATGGTACCAGACTCGTCGGGGTAGGATAGTACCCAATTAGGTAGGTAACCTGGATAGTAGCCTTTCTTGAACCTAAAAGGCCACTAGGCCACCCTGGCATGTGCATAGCGTGCCACTATCAAATGTTAGGGAGTAGATCTTAGTAGACGAGAACAAAGAAGATGATCTTTGTTGATTAAAACCATCTCTCAGGCCGCTGGCAGTGTGGATCCTATCTACATTATCGGTAATTTAGACGTCAATAGTATTGCTGTGACCTTTAATTATACCAATTATTATTAGGTAGGTATGGCCAGGGTTCAGATGAGCGGCACGCTTTTGGTATCTGACAGATCTATGGGAACAGGACGGTATTTTACGACAAACAACAGTCCTCCAGATGTTTTAAAGTCATTTTGGTACCGGCCGACGACTTGATGCGTAGGCAAAAAGTGTGGAAATGTCGTTTTGCATTTACATAGGTGCTGGGTCANTTTTTCGTTTTGATATAGCGGATCTCTTATCAGCAGGGAGAAAGCTTGGGGGCGAGCAAAATTTTTTTAATCAGATATTTTTTGCTCAATGGCCAATAGTTTGGGTGAGATTCCCTCTTGAGTTTATGGGAAATTCTGAAATTTCTCGAGTATTGCAAGGGTGTCGATTCTCGTCTGCACTTCAACAATAGTCCATTTCCCACAGGATGTCCGGTTCATCTGAAATGGGAGTTCGACCGATTAATGGACGTTCAAGGAAATGCACAGCTAAAAGTCCCATGTTCAAAACATGTTGGTCTTCAGATTATGTAAATTTTTAAATCTAAATATCACGTGGCATAACTAATTTTATACAGGGAGCAACGGTATAGTGGCAAATGGCGCACTATCACATGGTCACGAGTTCGAATCTCGCCCAACCAACTCTCATATCCCTCCGGAGTCGGTTAACTGGTACCAGACTGGTAAGGAAGGGGGAAGTCACTGGCTTGTACATCGGCTGACTACTGCAATTCAGGCAGTGACCAGCTGATGGCCACTTCGTATTGTTGTATAGGCCATATCCACATTTAAAAACGCCACTACGATTCTGAACGGATGCCAAATGCAGGGAGCATTCCGAAACGGGTTTGATTAGCTCTAAAGAATTCATTCTTATCTTCTAATCCTCTCGAAGATTCACAAACCCAAAATTTGGCAGGACATAACCGTAACGGATGGTCATATTCGCAGATGTTGGTTTGTTGACGAACTGATCGACCTATTCCATAGTCACTGATCTTTACATTGTGCTATTACCAGAATTAATCCCATGTATCACATAGTACATACTTTTTTTATCAAATGACCTCTGAAATTTGAAAAGAAGACAAAATACATGTTAACAGAGTAGATTCCAATGATTCTTGATGTCCTTTATCATTCTCATAGGCATAAGTAAGGCATTTTGATTGTTTCGGTACTCTCTATTACCAAAAAGTACTATGTGTTA